CTAATCGATCCGAAGGTGCGACATCACTTAACCTTAGATTCATTCAACTGTCCTCGTCCATAAAAAAAACGACTAGGTTTAAAGAGAAACGCCGACAACGTAAACCTGGCGCAACACTTTTGAAAGAAATAGATTCTGGACCAGCCCATGATCACCGAGGCGGATTTCAGAAGAGAGAGAGACGTCCGGCAAGTGTTTCAAATGAGTTGACTTTTTTGCGATCGTGATTAGCAATAATTTTGACAGTGACACGAAAACGAAGCGTCGGACAAACAGGAAATTACATTTTCATTTTCGAAGGCTAAAAGTTTCTGAATTGTTTGGTGATTGGTGTTGAATGTCGAATTCACACCACTGTTCTTTTTTACCTCCATGCTTGCAGCTTGATCTGCGTAATAATTTATGAAATAAGAATCCGGGATTGGTCAATGTGTTTCCACCAAATAAAGTGTTAATACGATGTTATAATTATGACAATCACGCCATGGATCAAGCTAACTCGAATCCAGTCTGAATTTATCTGTATGTGTGTCGATCTCGATTATTTTTGTTATCCAATTAAACGCCGCTTTTAACGCACTTGCCCTCGCCGTGACCCTACGCGTTCTCCTATTTCAACAAAATGTCAATTCATTTCCACGCGGCTGTCATTTGTCGTTTTTTTAATTATTTTATAGTGATCACTATAGTCTAATGTTTAGAATGTCAAAATATGTTCTCTTTTATTTTAATTTTGAAAGTTTTACACAGACGATCGATGAAATAAAACAGTGTAGTGACGTGCCTAGTGACCTGCTAAATAACGAGATAATTCCGACGTCAATTTCTATTTTGTCCAGCAACAGTGTACAAATGTGCGCTGGTGTCGGTGACGATCACGGTGACCAGCTACACCAGAACGGACATATTTCGCATCTAACTCAATCTCATGCAACAAAAATTGATACTATGTGTTCATTATGGTCCATTCTTCCTCGACGAACAAGTACATAAGTGACAATATAGTCAAAGACGAGAAAACTGCACAAGAAATTTGCCTTATTTACACGTATCGGCAATGCAAGCTGCCATGCGACTTCCCCTTCTGACGTCACAAGGGGAATTTCTGTATGCAAATGAGAAGCTAATGAGGAGCCTCGTTTTAAAATATACAAAAATAAAGTTTAAAACACATTTTTTCACTTAAAAACGTAATTCATGCTTAGAAACATAAAAATTAATAATATTTATGTATCAATTGATAATTTTAGGCGTGAAAATAGCAGCCATTTCACAGGCACTTTAAACTTGGTTATCCTTACACCTTTGTTTATAACATATACTTAGCTGAAATAACAATAGGTACACATGGGATTCATACTGCATAACTGATAAAACATTAAGTACAAATGAGATTCATAATGGCAAGGTGAAATAACAATAATAAGTACTTGGTAAATG